CGTGCCCGTACGTGAGCCCCGGGCAGTCCTGGGCAGCTGAATTTGAAATCTTTTTGTCGCATACGGATAGTTACAGCTTTCTAGCTCTTCTCGTTCCCGAGTTAGCGGTTTTCGCGCCGAAACTTTCACGTGGTCGTACGCGGGGCCAGACGTGCGTGAGGGTTGAAACTGCGGTCCTGTAGTGGTACCTGGCTGGGGAACACACTGGCAAAATTTCAGCTTCAAAGCTTGCGCGGCTAGTGAGTTGAAATACCCGGACAGACGAACACACACACACACACAAAACATATATATATATACACACACACACACACACTGACAGGGTCGTTGCAATATGCGTTTTTGCTTCCTGTTGCAGCGCCCTAGCGCTGCACGGCAAAAACGCATAAAAACTACGAAACCCAAAAGAACACGAGGATTCTTTTTCTAGCAGCTATTTTGAGAAACAGGATAATTTTCAACTTTTTCCTCTGCGGAACCTTCGTCAGCTAAATTACTTGCCTAATCGTTAGACACAAATGAAGCTGGAACGCCAATATTTCGACTCCGCTCTGTGTGCACGATACAACCTGAAATCAGCTTCTCTAAAATAAGGGCCTAGTTATCGGGCTGATCGCTGCTGACCATTCGAGCTTCTTCCGAATGCCTCCTTTTTTGGTGGAGAATAACTATGGAGGGGATTTTGTTTTTTTTTTTTTTTTTTTTTCAAAATTGCCAGGACCATCCGCACTATTGACTGGTTTACAGTCTCATGTTACTTAACACAGAATGGGTAATTTCAATCAATTCCTGCTGCAATCCTGAGATGTATGTTTCCAGTCAGTTCTCGAGTCTTCTACATCTGCCACCTTGTCGAAAACCTACCGATTAGTCAATTCTTCCTTGAAAGTGTTGCTCGAACAAGATTTCTGTTTCTTTAGCCTAACGTTCACCGGTGTGATATTTTTTCTATGCTTTTAAAAAAATATTCTTTTAAAAAAGCAGAAAAATATAAAATATTTTAAAGTGATATTTTTTTAAAAAAATAAAAACCGCTGTGGATGCAAGAAAATATCAGCACAAGTGTTTTAGTTTGGAAATCTTTACTATCCGCATCAAATGCCAACAGCTTGGGATACGTGGAATGAAAAACTGCGTCAACTGGATGCCAAACTTTCTGCACAGTTAATTCAGCGGACAGTAGCGCTACGGCGGCGTGTCGACGAGCTGGAAAATGAGGTCTGTTTTTTCTGATAAAAATATGAGATCAAAAAGTATTATGTTTTCGTTTCCTTTTGAAAACTGTCGTCTAATTATAATTTAATATTTTTCGTTGCTATGTGCTTTCGAATACCACACCTTAGTGTTACTGTATTAAAGCTTTTATCACTGCTATCACCAATGTTAAAATCATCATTATTTCCGCATTATCAGGTGCCACAGTTTCGACCGGCTGGCTTTCTAAGTTGCACTAGTCCTGAACTTGCGCTGACTCAAGTCTCAGGCAACTTATAAAAAAACTAGTTTTTTTTAAAAAGCTTCTTAATAGCCTGGATTTTTAATCAAATTTTTGGCTCTGCGCGAAGGTGGTGCCTGGAACGACTTGGAGGCAAAATCAATCTCAACTTCTTGTTTTTTCCACAATAAGGCTTATACCGCAAAAATCAGCTCAATTTGGGACATATGGCCTCCCACGGTTTTCGCAATTTTTTGATATCGAGGTCGGTACGGCAATTTCAGCAGGTTTCCTGACCTACATTTCTCCCGAACTTGCGCTGGCTCAAGTTTCAAGCAACTTTCAAAATTGACTTTTTTAAAAATTTTATTTCAAATTTTAGCTCTACGCAAAAGTGATACTCCCTTCTGAGAATTACTACCCTGCACACCTGGACTGTAGGTATATCTTATATGTATTGATACGTCATTTGTGTAGCATACCCACAAAATAACTGCACTATCGCTTCTGTTCTATGCTTGGAACATTACAAACGCAACACAACTGAAGTAATCGTGTGCTGGAATTTTGCTTCTTTGCTGAGTTCACTGACAAAGTTACTTCTCGGTCTATTTTCGAAATTACTGCCATATCAAATAATGATTTATGGTTTTTTGTTAAAAATAGATTAAAAAATAACTGCGTCACTATGACGCAATACCCCGGTCCCTCGTTCAAACTTTGGACACTCTACCCTCGTTAAAGTTTTGCTATTTTAGTAATCTCTGACTTCTGGGGTATAAAAGCACCTCTCCATCGCCGGGATTGCCACAACTAACTAAACTCACTTTAGAAACTATTTTCTTCTTACCCATGTTCTGCAGAACCTTACCACCTTTTTTTGTAATACCTTTTTTGTGATACATGCTTATAAATATGTATACATGACTAGGTGTCTTACACTTACACTTACACTTACACACACACACACACACACAAACATTTACACACAGAACATGGCACTAGTCAAAAATATTGACTTTTAAAATCGCGATATTACAATGTTGTGCAATTCCAGACTGCGGGAAAGAAATGCATTATTTATTTGTTTCAGATAGGAGAACTGAGACAAGCGGGAACACATGACTGGAACCGATCGGATTCAGGAATTTTGTATAAAATATTTACGGAAAAAAGAAATTTCGATGATGCTGAGGTAATTTTTGAATCTTCCTATTTCCTCCTAAGTTAGAACCACTGGAAATGGGCTGATACTTTTTTCAGGCCATTTGCAAATCATTTCACTCTCAGCTAGCTGTTATTGAATCGCAGCACAAGAACGATTATATCAAAGGTTTGTGCAGACTATACTTTTCTTTGCTTAGATTGTGCTTTTCGTTCGATAGAAATTCTATTCCAAAAATGAAGTTATTGATATTAACAAAACTGAGACTATTGAAGTTGCAGACCTCCTTGAGGAAACAATTCCGGAATCGAAAAATGAAGACAAAAGCTTGGAAGAAGGCGAAGCCTGGATCGGGTTAAAAACTGGTAAAATTGAAATGAGTTCGGATGAAGGCAGTTTTTCGAATTTTGCTGAAGATCAGCCAGTGAATGGTTGTGCAACAATGAATCAGAGCGGTAAATGGGCGATTAGGAACTGTACTGAGCAGCGAGCATTTGTTTGTGAACTTCAACCGGAAAAAAATCGAGTACCAGCACACAGTGACAGTGGAAATCTGAAGTTTTTGGTAAAATGCTGTGAGCATCTGTCACTTTTTGATGACGTTTATCGGAAATGAACAAATTTAAATGTCTTTTTTTCCGAGAGTTGCTTATAAGGAAGCTTATGGCTGTTTATCTTTCCGGCATACACTACTACCAAATTACCGCAAAAATGAACGAATGAGTTGTAATCAAACTGGTCCACTGTGGAATGGCATAAAGCTATCACTGACTTGAACATGAGTGCAGTGGTACTGGCCTCAGCCGACATTCGAATTCTGACTCATCATTACTTTGGTAGAACTCATGTTTGCGTGTTACACAAGCTTTTGTGAAAATGGGTCGAGACTCTGTACTCAGAAAACCAAAAAGCGCATTCCTCCTATAATCATATTCACATTGGTCACTCAGATTTCTAAATATTCCATTGAGTTTTGCGTGGAATAGCAAGATTTGATAAAGTACTACTTTTTTCCTATGCGCATCAGAACTGAAATCTCTAATCCTAGCATCATTTCTGTTAATCTTTGGTTGTTTTTGAGAGAACCGTTAAGCTATACTTCCGTCAGGAAAAGGATCTAACGTTAAGGTTGTCAACAGATGACCATTAGTCAAGGCAGTAGTGGTCAAAGTAACTGGAAAAGTTACCAGCTGCATAGCTGGAGAACCAGAAAATTGCAGCTGACCAAAGTTAAGCATATTTATTTTGATACGTACTGGATGAGATGTATGTCCGTTTGTAAATAAATGTATTTCCCAGTTTTACTTAACAGCACCAGGATCATTCGAATGATCAATATGAAGCTCCTAGGGTTTTTGAAATGAATCAAATTTTCCGCGCAGCTAAGTAATTGAGCGTTCTGCTCTTTTATTTATGAAATGCAACAATTTAGGATCGAAAATCCACGGCATGGCTGCGCTCGATGTGTGGGAACATACCAGTAACATCACTAGCATGAGATACTCACACTGACTGTCCTCGGATGATCTTTGTATCCTTGATGTATAATGTCGGAAATAACAAGACACAAAACAATACTTCTCTTTCTGTGTCGAGTGTAGCATTCGTAATAATACTAAACAAGACACTTATGTCCGGCAGTCTTAGTTTTCTTGGAATTTTTTATACAGTTATTGAAAATATTACAGAAGCCACTTAAACGTAGGGAACTATGAAAGCATCCAAGTTTTATAAAGCTCACACTCAATGTCAGAATCGCAAGGCTTAAAGAAGAAGCCTTTTCGGCATTGCATATGTATGCTCAGGAAGTACGATTGAGGAATGGATTTGTTTGTGAAGTACAGGCACTGACCGCTGGATCCTCATCAAAAGTAATTAGGTCAGGTTCCGTATTTTCCGTTGTTGTAGGTCCAACAGTGGAAACATGTGCGTCAGCTCTGTTGCCTTGTTCAGGGTTTGAACAGAATGTCGTAGCCATTCCAGAAGAAGCACGATTCTGCTCCGACTGCAATCCAATAGTTGCCGGATTTAGCTGCCCAGAAGAACCTAACTGCGCACTAATCGGCGCATATTTCGGTTGCAAACCTTGACCAAAAAGACTGATACCACCAGAAGGGTCATTTCTCTGTGTTCCATTTTGGATCCGATTTGGCATCTCGACATTACCTGTGGACGTTCGGGATTCTTCGGAGGCAGTTAATGGCTTAGGACCTTCAGTTCCTTGGTTTGCAGCATCTTCATTTTTGTTCCGGATCAGACTGGGATGAGTCGATAAGTCATCACGAAGCGGCTGCGGTCTGGTTGCGTGCGCCATCTGCAGATTCTGAAATAAATCATCGGTAAACCAAAAAACTAGAAATTGCAAGCCTTTCACTTGAAGATATAGGATATTCTTCAAAAGCCACAACTCCAGATGCTTCAAGAAATATTTTACCTACCGCATGGATATCTTCTGTGGTTCTACCCCTGATTTCATAGTTTAATAACCAAATTTGAAAAGAAACGAATGTCAAGAGATTGCCGGCAAGCAGATTTACTAGGCGAAGCAGCACTTTTCAATTCAAACGGAAAAAGAAGTATCCCTAACTTCTAATATTTTTCGACTCAGGCTATATTAAAATTTGACATCCTGGCCTACGCCTACTACCAGTTTGCTAACAGCTGCACAGAATTTTGATGCATCACTACTCAGGCTATATCAATATTCTCTGCAGGTGTTGGCAAATTGTTAGTAGGCGTAGACCAAGAAGTCAAAACCGCCAGGAGCTTGCTTCTTAGCAACTTTCGAGTGACAGAGCCATCGCCAGTATTGCCAACGAGCGGTTACTGCTGGCACCTGCTGTTGGCACCGGCTATTTCATATCAGAAGGAGTGAATACAAAGGGAGTTTTGACTTTTGACGGTGTGATGTTAACTGACTACAATAATTTACGCTTAACAGTCCCCTAGTGCACATAACTAGTAAAATAATTGGCCAGCGCATTGTCTGCGGGTGCGAAGATGCGTTTTTTGCAAAAATTCCCCGCAAGTTTTTGTCGCTAACAGCACTGATTTCTCCAGCTAAGACTGGTCAGTGGAGAAAACATTCAATTAAAAATGCAGCTTTTTAGTCGCCGAGTTAGTAACTTACCTGCCAAGAACTTTCATGAGTCTGCACTTGAAAACCACGCATAAATGAAGGCTGAATTTGAATGGATGAATGGAGCGTTGAATGGATGAATGGAGATGAGTTGTAGTGAGAAGGTGAAAAGAGGAAAGAAATAGATCAATGGACTGTATGTGAGCAGAGGAAATCCCCTTAAAATTTCAGCCTTCTAGCTTCTGCCTTCTCTGGTTTCCGAATCAGCAGCTTATTCGCCAAAAACTTTCGCATGCCCGTACGAGAAAACCACATGGAAAGAATGTCCATTTTTATGCGTTTTTTGCAGCGATGCAACGCAGAAAACTGACGAGGGGTTGTCTGTGTGTGTGTCTGTGTGTCCGTGTGTGCGCCTGTCACGGTTTTTCATCTCAAGACCTACAAAAGCTACAGGACTGAAACTTTGGGAACTTAATCTACATGCACGTACGAGCCCCAATCCCCAAAATTGGCGCCATTACCCGCGTGGTACAAAGTGATGTCCGTCAAATTGTTGGATACTAGCAGCAGCCACAGCAGAAGCGGTCCTAATGAAATACTCAAGGAAATATGCAGTAGCGATAGCTTAAAATTGGCGCCATTACCCGCGTGGTGACAGTGTATCTGAACGGAGAGCAGCGCCGACGTCGGACAAATGTATGGCGGTGTCTTAGACGCATCAAGACGGAACGCAACGATATGAGGCGGATATTCCATTTACGGACCCACCAAAGTTTTTTTCGTGTAAGTTCAAACTCGGAGGTCTGAGAAGCTAGAAAGCTGAAATGCTAGGAGGATGTTCCCCATCCAAGTGGGTATTAGTGAGCTCAAAATCAGCCCCCGGGCAAGTGTGGAACCCGCGTACGAGCCCGCCAAAACTTTCTTCGGGTTACTCCATAACTCGGGGATCTGAGAAGCAAGAAAACTGAATTTTAAGCGAATGTTCCCCGTGCAAGTAAGTGCTAATGAGCTCAAACTTAACCCGCGGGTAAGCGTGGCACCCGCGTACGGGCCCACCAAAATTTTTCTCGGGCAACTTAATAACTCTGAAATGTTTCTCGTCCACATTAGTCTCAAAGAGATCAAACCCAGCTCTCGGTCATGCGTGGTATCTACGCACGGGTTCACCAAAGCTTTTTTCGGGTAAGCTCATAACTGGAGAACCTGTAAAGCTAAAAGACTGTAGTTTTAGGGGGATGCCCCCCGTCCAAGTAAGTCTCAACGAGCTCAAGCCCAGACATCGGGTATGCGTGGTACTCGAGTGTGGGCTTGTGAAAAATTTTTTCAATTAAATTGCTAACTCAGGAGCTAGGAAAGCTAGAAAGCTGAAATTTTAAGGGAGTGTTTTCTGCCAGTTTCGGCGGCCAGTCTTAATTTGCTTAGCTAGAAGGATCTGCCGAAAAAACCAACGCCGGTAGCGACAAAAACTGCGGGGAACTATGCAAAAAACGCATCTTCGCACGGGCAGCCCGTGCGATGGCCAATTATTGGAATATGGGCTCGTACATGCGTATAGATTAACCTTCCAAAGTTTCAACGTCGTAATTTTTGTAGGTCAGGAGGTAAGAAATCGGTATAGGTACACACTCGGATACAGACAAACAGACAAAAACAGAGACAATTCCTCGACAATATGCGTTTTTACATTGCATAGATGCAAAAAACGTATAAAAATAACGAAAACTAACAACTTCATTTTCAGTATCTACATCAACCGAATTCTGCCATCGTCTAATCATCGAATGTTCTTGTGCACGTTCTTTTGATGAATTTGACCAATTACCTAAGAAAGTAACAACGAAAATTTAAAAAAAAAAAAACACTTTCTAAAAGGAGGAAAAAAACAAAGACAATCAATACAAATAGCACAGTGTTGCGAAAAAACTGAAAATACTATAAGATCTGGGCGACAAAACTCCCCCACTTAGGTACCACTGCAAGATGGCACGGGGCAGCCAGCGCAAGCTAATTTAGGTGAAGAATTTGCAATTTTAAACGATTCAAAGTTTCTGTATAATTTTTGCTATGTTCCAAGCCATTTAAAAAAAAGGAGTAGTGACTAATAACACAAAGCGTGGAAGTGAAATAGGTTTGATAAAAAAGCAAACGAAACATATTTTGGCACTTTCAAAAACTGTATTTCATAAACGTTTCTACGTCTAAACAGTTGACGTCTTGTTCAATTGCCCTGAGCAGTGCTGTATTGCTTGGAAGTCAGCCTGCTGGCGATACTGACGCTCCTTTCGTCGTTACAGATGCAGTAGATCGTCGTTACAAGTAGTGAAAACGAGGAGCACTTTAAAAAAACAGTCAGGCAGCAAAAAAAAAAGTAACTATCAACCCAGGCTGGAACGCACCAGGCTGTCAAAAATCCATGTTCATTTACACATACGATTGCGGTTCAGGTCCGAACTGCGAACAATTTTTTTGTAAAAACGCAAATTTCCAGTTCATTGAAACTAGAATTATTACTCGAACAGTCGTTTGTCAAAAAATACATGTTCATTTGCATATACGATTGCGGTTCAGGCCCGAGTTGCTAACGATTTTTGAGTTGAGGAGCTGCTTGAAACTGTGGTTGGGGTGCTCGACAGCTGAGTTTAAAATCTTTAGCTCGTACGTGCATAGAGAATATCCCTGCAAAGTAGCAGCTTTTTACCTTGGCTGGTTCGCGAAATCGCTTCCCGCCAACATATTTCTCTGGGAGCTCCGTATGCGGAGTCTAGGCGCGTATGGGGAAAGATCTTAAAACTGGAGGATAACACACGAGGCAAAAACATATATACAAAGTTTCAGCCTCCCAGCTTTCCTGGTTGCTGAGATGAAAGTAGGTGACAAAATGCACTTGTTTTCCGAACACACACACACATACAGACAGCCTCTTGACAATATGCGTTTTTGCTGGCTGCACAGCAGAAACGCATAAAAATGACCTGGACTTTAGGGTCGCGAAAAATAAAGACTTTTACCTGTTTTTGGTACCAGTGACTTAAGAAGCGATTTTTTGTGGTCATTCTGGTCACTGTTCCTTCGTCTTTTTTGTAAACTTTTTTCATTGAATCGTTTCTGCAACTCTTTTGCAAGTTTCTCATCATTCGCTGTTGCGCCTCCGCCATTATCCTAAAAATAAATTAAAAAATAAAAATTCAGATTTTCAAAATACACTAATACTAGTAAAAAGGTATGCCGAAAAGTACTCTTATTTACTCATTAGTATTAATTACAAGATTTTTCAGCTGGGTCATGAAAAAGTAAACAATACTATTATAGCTATGTGGTGCATTAAAAAGACTGAAAACTAAAATACTGCACATTAAAAAACGGCTGAAAAAATGTTAAAATTTTGCTAACTGATAACAGTACATTAGCTTTTAAAATTACAAAATAA